TTAGCCTACAAGCATCTCATACACTTCAGGTTTTGCCATGTGAAGTAAGTTGCAGAGCATATCAGAAGATATTACAGAATTTCCAAGGGCATATTAAAGAGGGATTAAGGCACAGTAAACAGGTGTTAATTATGATTAAAGAAAAAAGATCATGATGAGGGGAGAAAGGGAGGCAGGTGCCACTGGAAAACAATTTTCATCCTACTGGAATATTAAGTAAGTGGTACTCGGAGCAATTGCTGCCTTTTCTCAGCTCAAAGCTGAGCTTGTTAAGCTTGTTGCGCAGAGCTTGGGGCTGTTTTTCATGAAAGTGCAAAGAAACCCTCATACACAGTTTTCATCTACATCAACAATCTGAAAATGCTCATTTCATATAGCTCACTCACGGTGAAGAATAATGCTGAACACCGGGAGGTCTGCAGAGGAAATAGCATTGAAAGTACATCGTCTAAGAATACATCAAGACTACAGAATGGCCTTGCAAGAAACAGCATTCAGGATTTATTATTCCATAAACAATTCTATATATGTTTTTGTAAATTGCAGTTTGAGTATGGTGCTTAAGAGAATGCCTTCAAAATAGTAGAAAAGAATGATGGAAGTGAAAGAATAAACCTGGATCCCCAAATCCAGTCGCTGAAACCTAAGATAACTGACTGTGCACTGGACGACTGATTCAGAAAGTCCTGTGGAAGCCTCTGAGGCATTTTCATGGAAAGTGCTAAATGTTCTGAGTTTTGTTAGCTCAGTTAGGATGGGTTGAATATTGATGGGAATCATGGACCACTGTTACCACTGCCTGCAGATACTATGTGTTAGTAACTACATTTTGAAGGATTTTGAGTATTTTTCCTCAAGTCAGTGGTTATGAGCAATCGTAAGCAATACTTCATTATATGCCCTATATGTCCCTATGTTATTCCAGGGTTAAACGCATGTTTGAAGTGTGCTATTTGGAAAAAACGCAGGCATGAGTCTCAGAAGAATTCGAATTTTTAATCACTCCAGTATCATTGTCTCTAGTTAATTTCAGAGGTTGAAAAATTAAAGGAAATTCAGAAAAAATTAAACTGAAGCACTGTAATATGGCACCCAAAACTGAAAAGACAGTAGTTTGTAGCTGAGGGATCTTTACTGCATTGCGTCTGAAACAGTTCACCTCTCTAGAGGATTTGTGTTAATCACATGAAAATGATCTTTAGCTTCTATGAGTAAAGATGTCAGTTGTAATTCTTACTTATCAGTTTCCAGACTAGCAACTCATGTCATCAAACACTCATGGTGAAAGTCAGCATCTGAAAGATCTTGTTCTTTCACAGAATCACAGAATGGTTGAGGTTGGAAGGCACCTCTAGAGGTCATCTAGTCCAACCCCCCTGCTCAAGCAGGGTCCTCTAGAGCACATTTCCCAGGATCGCTTCCAGGCAGGTTTTGAATACCTCCAGCGAAGGAGACTCCACTACCTCTCTGGGCAACCTGTTCCAGTGCTCGGTCACCCTCACATTCTTTTTTTTTAATTTGTCTTTGGTTCAAGCAGAATTTTGTCACGTTACCTTATGAGAGCATGCAGTTTATAGTCAGTGCTGTACAATTGCAGAGTAATTTAGGTTGAAAAGGACCTCTGGAGGTCTAATCCAAACTCCTACTCAAAGCTGACCCAGCTATATCAGGATTATATTATGTTATGTTATTACAGCCACTTGTCAAGTGAAATTTTGAACATCACCAAGGTTCCAAAGATTCAAGAATCTATCATCTGGTTCGTGTTTAGTGTGAGCTACTCCCATGGACATCTGTCTGCTGCTTGACTGTGTTAATGGTCTCTGTTTTCTTGAAGGATTCTGGCTTGTGTGGGTAGTTCCTGGACTGTAAGATCTCAAATTAGGTACAATTGGAACTTGAGTTCCCTAGGGAAATATATGATCGTTTCATATCGTTTATTTGTACGGTTTCTACCAGAGAAGAGCCCTTGTTGAAATTAACGTCCGTTGTGATCATGATTAGAAATGAAAATCTAGGATACTCTTGCAAGCTACCTTATTTTTTTCCTGACACTTACTCTGCTTAGTTTGAAATTGTTTAGTTACAAAGTGAAACATTTTAAAACAAGTTCATTCTTTCCAAATATTTTTTGTGAGTGTGTTTAATTCCTAGAAAGCTTCTAAAGAAAGAAAGAAAGAAAGAAGGGCAGAGGACAGGCAAGCCGTGGTATTACCAGTAAAACTTTATAAAGTGCATTCATTTGTGAAATAACAGTGGTTAAGAAATAGCTGGCTAAAGGCCTCTTTCACGCCTGTGTGTTTCTCGGCAAGGTGAGCGGTCTCGGAGGGCAGGCAGCGACCTTGGCGCACAGTTCCTAAAGCTGTGTCGGAGGGTCAGCCTTTTGCCTTTCCTGGGATGATGGAGGAGGTAATTCTGGAAATAAGCGGTTTGGTATCTTTCATCTTCTTGAAAACTTCCATATGATCTTTCCGCTGGCTGTAGTTACTCCCTTTATTTATGCTCTAAGTTTGGAAACACTTTCTTGTTCAGTATTCTCAAAGGTGGGCTGGGGAGGGGGGAGACTGGCTTTTATGTGTCTATCTATTTTCGTACGTATTCAGGGTAAATTATCATTTGGATTTTCAAGGGAATTACCTGCGCTCTTAATTTAATAGTTCTTATTTATATTTATTAGTGGGAAGAGGGAGTATCATGCTGCCCCCTCCTTCATCTAGCCAAAAACCCGCCTTCTGGTGGGTCGCAGTCAGGTCTCTGCGTTGCATGGCTTCGTAGATGGGTGTCGTCAGTGATTCATACCCTCCCAGTGACTGCAGCAAGCTTGCCATTGCCACGTTGCGGGGCTGCCTTCATCTGCTTTCTATCGGCTCTAGGACCTCCCGTGTTTGATCAAAGGGTTCGTCAGCAGTGTGCTGTTTCTGTGCATCGTAGAACAAACTGAATATGTAGAAACAACGGGCAGGATAGGATGTCGCTTCAGGTTTACAAAATACTATTTCTTTCGGAAAAGCAACGACAGTTTAAACCAGCTTGAAAAGCTTACCCACTGTGGGACTTGATGACAAGTTTCTCATTAATTTCAGCGGGAACAGGGCTACAGTGAGCAGCACAATCGTAGTTTCCTTCTAATGAGATTTGAATATTTAGCTGTTGTATTTTCTCCCTGTTGACGCAAGGTGTTAGAGATGTAGGTGAGCCTTTCCAGCAGGAAAGGTGTCCCTGTGTGGGCGTGTAGATGTTCTTCCCCTGTTAGCCTCATCTAATTCATGTCTCTCCGTCTCCTGAAAACAGCTATTTGTGCTTGAATTACATCAGAGAGGTGCCTGGGTTTAATAAAAAAAGAAAAACAGTGTTTTTTATGAGGTGATCGATATGTTTTACATGAATGTACTCGTCAGGACAAATAGTTGAAGGGAAAGTAGTTTAACGGCTCTTTCTTAAACACTTAAATCATTGTGCCAGCAAGAAGCAAGCAAAAGAAAGCCTAATGTATTTATGGTTCCTTTATAATCAGGATAACAGTAATGCTGGAACCTGATGGATCGGCCCTTTGGAGTCCGAGTTTTGAGGCTCAGAATGAGATTTGTGCCTCATGTAAGAGTATTCAGTGCTTAAGGGCACAGCGGATAAAACTGATCCTTGATTAAGGTTTTAACATGGTAATAGTCACTTTCTAAGTGACTATTAATTTTTTAAAAAGACATTGTTAGGAATGTGATTCACAGTGTTGCTTTTTAATTCAGTTGTATTTCTGGGTTTTAATTAAGGAAGCGTTCCGCTGTTCACTCTCAAAGAGTTATCAGATGTTTGCAGAATTACTCAAGCTGGATCAGTTCTTCACAAAGATATATATTTTTATGCTTAGACAGAGTTTGCGCAGTGTATTACATATGGGAAGTACTTCTCAGGGTATAGATTAACCCAAAGATCATATAGAAGTCAATGTCTTTGTATGTGTATATAGGAACTATCAAGAAGGCACACACAACAACTATATGCTTATTACAGACCTCTCTAGATCTGTGAGGACGCCCTTTATTTAATACTGATTTTCCTTCTGTTTTCCAATCTTAAACCTCTCATTAATCGTCTCACTGCATCTGCCTATAGAGTCAGAGACCATGGTGTGCAGGATAGAGACTGTCTGCTCTGTGTTGCACTCAAGCGATAGTTCACGCTGTCTTTCTGTTCAGTTGTTCCCTTTTTTTCCCATATTACTTGTCCTTCAGTGCAACATTTTACTCTGCCTGTTTGTACTCTTGATGTTTTGCTCGCTCTGTCTCACCATCTCTCTCGACATAGGACTTGGACTTGTAACTAATGCAGTTGGTAGGACTCACTGTTCAAACCTACGATTTTTATAGGCCTCTTGTAAAATGCAGCAGCCGTATCGTCCACTTGGCAACACTTCATAACAACCTAATCTGACTGACTTGTAATAAATAAACTGGGGCACTTCTGAAAATTTCACTGTCAGTTTGAATGTCTCTAGTTATATATTAGCGTGGATCTTAAATCAGTAAGTGGTATACTTCCTCGGGTAGCAGCTTGGTTTTCAGCCTGTTCTTTAGTAATTCAGATATTAGCTCTAGAGGAAGAAGGGTGACATACATTAGATATAAACATATGTTAGCTTTTCCTGGATAAGTTGCTTTATATCTCAGTGGCAGAACATTTCCACTGAAAGCTGGTAAGTTGAATTCTCATTGCTACTTTTAAAGAAGAAAATGCAAGTTACTTTATTAACAAAAATGAGGAGTTCCTCATTTTTCAAACCTTAAGTAGACGTAGCAGTTCAGTTGTGCATACGCTTTTGCAGAATTGGCATGGCAGCACGTGTAACAGACCCTTCATTGCTCCATTTATTTAGTACTCTAATGATGTACGTAGCAACTTGCTTTGTCTTTTTCTCGTTCATATGTAAGGGAGACTTGAAGACTTTGGCATGGTTAACTTCATTTTCACCTGTGAGTAATGACATTTAAAAAAAATCATTTCAGGAAAAGCTGTCAGAAGACAGTGGGAAATGTAAAGAAGCTATGGAAAAAAATCACGTGGCAGTAGATGAAGATTCAAGAAGTGAAAGCAGCAGTACCGAAGAGGAAAAAGAAAAGACAAAATTGCTATTAGAGCGTTTGAAGGCTCTGGAGGTAAGAAATAAAGCAGTGTTATACAGAAAGCCCTCCCCACCACCTTATCCTGTTATTGGCGTTGAATCACCATGCAGTATAAATCTTATCTTTCACAGTTCACCTATACTCCATATTAGAGAGGTTTTTTCAGTCATTACGATTCACTGAGCAAGAAGCTCAGTCTCAGAACCACAGCAAGAGCCGTCTCTAATGTTGTGTCATATATCTATCTTTAAAAAGAACTTCATACATAATTTTAATTCAACTGAGACTATTTAAAAAGAAACTTGTTTTTACTGCCTTTGTTTCCGTTATTAACAGTGTAAGACTAATAGCACAGGTGGTTTAACAACTGTCATAAATCCAGTGTTGCCTCATTGTAGTTTATTGCTGAACTTGTAGTCGCTGGACGGCTTGCCTGAAGACTCAGTTCTTCTACAGGTCTTTCCACTGCTAGATTGTGGAAAATCTGTTTCTTTGCAGACCACATGCAGAGCTGCACACATGCTACATTTTGAATTTGTTTGTGGAAAATTAGGATTTACAAAATACTCCATCTTACGATAGTTCCCGGCTTCTAGAATCCAGGATTGTAAATATTCCTGGAGAAAAGGTGTTAAGATTTTCATAGGTAGCCATGGCCAAGGTGCAGGTAGGATTGTAACTGCTACAAATATATATATATGTGTATATATTTTAATACACATATTTACATATGTATTTATACATATATAAAAATGTTTTAATATATTTAATATATGTTTATATATATACAAGCACACTTATTTTGTGCTCCTTTTAGCGTGGATTTCAATATGTATAAAAAAATTAAGCCTGTGCAGATTTTCATATAGCTTTGAACTAGTACAAGGACACAATTTGAACTTCTTATCAAGTGTTTGCTCCATTCTCTTTTGTTCAAGTCCGTATGTTGTGTTGCCCGTGTGGGTAAGTGAATGCCTGAGAATGACCTTAGTGGCATTTTGCCTAAGTGGAGTCTGAGTAAACAAAGACTTGATCGCTGGGCCTAGAGATTTTTGGTTAACGGTAACAAGGTTGTTAATTTCTTTTGCGTCATAATTTTTAGCTTGAGTTGTACTCTGGTCACGTTAAAACTCTGGATTTGTGTTCTTGAGGACTTTGTTAAAAGGAGAGCATGAACGGTTGGTTATAACCGTGTTCTAATCTAAATACAGAGTCTAAAGGATGTAGGCAGTCTTTGTAAATTTTTTCCTTTAAAGCCTTGGGCAAATAAACATCTTAAATATTAATTAACGTTAGTTCTGCGTGGAAGAAATAAAATATCCACATGATATGAAATTATCAAGGTGCATACAACTAGTAAGCCCTGCAGCTTACTATAGTCTTGCTTTATCTGACAGTGGAGGATGACTTGAGGTTTCTTACGGTCTTTTGTTTCTTGATATGCATGATCTGTGTTTCCTTGGCCTTGTTCTTAATCAGTTTACATGACAGTTTCGGTTCTTTATGTCCTCACAGTTGATAAGAAGCAGTTCAATGAAGTCACAACCTTTTATCAGTTATGGCCAATTGCCTAGATATATAATGTAACATTATGGACAGGCAGAATCTAGTTCTGGAAGGTCAGTGAATAGGTCCCCTCACTGATGTCAGCGTTGTGCTGTAGCTTATTAAAAACACATATTAATGAATGCCAAGGCCTGAAGAATTGATCTACATAAATAGTCTAAGGGGCTATCAAAGAAGAAAAACGAATTGCAGGACCAAAATTAATTGCGGTCTAGGACGGTTAAAACAAAGTGTTGTTAACTATGTGTTTTTTTATGATATATATTCTTGCCCTTGTTTTTTCTCCTGAAGGATATAAATTATGATGCCAAAAGCTCTATGGTTTATTAATTAAGAGACATAGTTTTAAAAAAAAATTATATGCAATTAGCAGTTCTAATCCTTCAGTATTTGCGGAGCAATTGCTCTAAATATTTCATTAGTCTGTATAAAAAGAAACAAAAATGGCTATTTGTTAATTCCTCTGCTGTGGGTGTCAGAGTCTGTAATCTTATTTACATGATTAGATTTTATTGTCTCACACACAGTTAATAAAATAAGCAAGGCTAATAAAGTACTTAGTAAAGTTGGTCCTCCATCTGTGCACTCTGGAATCTTAAGACTGCCTATAAAGGGAACCTACTAAAAGTAATATTCCTGCTTTCAAAATGTGAGACCTAATCTGTTAATGCTTTCTAATGCAATTAAATCTGTATCAGAACCCTTTAGAAACCTTTGAATATCTCTTCATGTCACTTTGTTTTTTTATTCGTTTTGGTTTTGCTGTGCATCTGGTAAGTGTAGCTCATGCTAGGATTTAGCTGGATCAGTTCAGAGCATTGTAAAATTATTCCATCCTTCCTTCCTACCCTTATTGTCCTATTCCTGTGATGTGCTCCTCCTGAAATGAGAGAATGTATATGTAAATAAATAAATAAGTCCATACACACCCACATACGCCTATATGTATATATAGGTATAGATATATAGGTATATGTATAGGTGTGTCTCTATATAGAGGGAGTGTTCATATAGGGAACAATTTGACCAAGTGGCATAAAGTTTTCGTTATACAACCATTCAGATGAAGCAATTAAGGTTTTTTTTCCTGTTAGTACTTTCTCTCAGCTGGTCACATCCAAAAAATAGATTGGCTAAGTATGAACTGAGTTTCAAGGGGATGAAGTAGCAAAGGGAAAAAGCTATCCACCAGCACAGGGATAATTGGATAGGGTAGTCAATATAATGGATTATTTAATTTGTTTTCTATTAAATGTATATGGAAAAGTTCCTGTTTTATACAGTACATAAGTTGTTTCTGCCCTTCCTCGGGTACTACCATGGTAGTACATGGCGTTAGCATGAGTGGTAGTTTTCTTCAGGAATTTTTGGCAAAGCAAGGAAAACTGTAGTCATCTTACACTCTCTGTTATGGTCTGGCAAATTATCAACTCTAAGCAAAAAGGCTTCATTTTTGAGAAAACTTTCTTTAAATGGTTTCCACATCAGTGGAGTTGTACTTAACATTTCTTTTCTTTTCTTATTTTTGGGTGCTGTCAAATGTGTTGCCAAGTAAATGTCTGTAATACTATTTAGGTTTTATTAACTTCTATTTAACCTGGAAATTTTCTCACTAAACAGTGCAAATCAATGTAATAAAGCATCTTTGCAGTGAGCCTAGCTGAAAGCTATCGTGTGCTTTGATGAGAAATATATATACTTTCTCTCATTTGCTCCTTTTTCCATAATCTTTTAACATTCTTTATCACTTAGAGCAAATTCTGTTTCTGCTCTACTGACTGATAAATACCATACATTTCTAATCAAATGAAACAGATGACAAATAGCAAATGGTTCATCCCATCTTATAGCCCGTTATATGTAGTTGAAATTAATTGTGATTTCTTGGATAGCAAAACCCCTTTGTGCCTTCAACATTTTTAGTTGGCTGCTCATGAACGGCTACTTGAATTTACTTCAGCAGTTATGATCAGATGTCTTAGCTCTTACAAACCAAAAAAAAAATCTGTGATAACTTCTCTGTATTTGGAGAAGTAAAGGAAATACTAATGTAGTACAGTGAATATAAACTCTTATTGTCAGTATCAGCTATTTGTTAGAGTTTCGTTTTCTTACATGCTTTCCTCACGAAAAGAGTTCCTGTTTTTTGTTTTAAAGTGGTAGCCAGGAATGTACAAAAAAATTAATTTATTCTGGACATCCGTCAACCCCTGTACAGCTATTTCAGGTATATAGAGGTGCGTATACAACTACATTAAAGCAATGTTATATTTCTGAAGTCAAACATTTATAAGTTGAAAGTTTTTCATAAAAACTTAATTTGCCCTCCTGGGTATGTGAGGTATTACAGGGACTCTCATTGCAAGATTGTGTACTGTTTCTTTCATTGTGACACAGACTTTTTTGCAGCCAGAACAGCTTAGCCGGTCACAATGCACAGAGGAGAACTTTAGGAATACTTTACGTTTGAAGTACAATGTCTACAAAGGGCTTTTAGACTGTCCCAGACTGTATCCAAAACGGAGCTATGGACTGCCTGCCCCAATTTAACCTTAAATGACTGGAATACATGCTGCCCAAACACCTGCATAATTGCAAGTGACTTAAACTGATCCACTGAGTTAGTGTCAGTTTTCATCTAAACATGTTTGTAAAAGCCATAGTTACTTTGATTTGAAAATTTTAATCAATGATAAATACTGTGTCAGCTCTGAAGGCTTATTAAGGTCTGTCATTTGCACAGACATTTATGCAATGAGGATAATTCATCATGAACTAAGTATATCTGGCCGTATTAAAAGTTCTGGCTCTGCCAGGCTTTATCCTTTGCAGTTGCAACATTTTGCAACTTTCTTAGAAAGCACTTTTGGTTGATTGCAAAGAAAGTAAGCTGCCTAGGGTTGCTCTGCAGAAAATAACCCGCGGGCTTAATGAGGGCTCTTTGGGAAGATACTCGGCTTTGTCAGTCAAAATGGATTCTGTAAGATGTACAAATGTGCATGTGTGGTGTTACCTCCTTCCACGTGCCGCAGCGTGTGTCCTCTGTTCCCCCAAAATTAATGGCATTCTGAGTAGAGATCGGATGAAGACTCAAGAAGTCTCAGTTCGGTTCCGGTCTTTGCTGCAGATGGCCTGCATCCTCTACAAATCATTTCAAATTTGTTGTGCCCCAGTTGGACATCTGCAGCCTGGTGAAGAGCTAGAACGTGGCATGGAGTCAAGTACCTTGGGCTGGCGGCCTTCCTCCGACCCCTGCTGTCCGGAGGCACTCGTGCACTTCAGCTGGGAGACCTGGGGCTGGAAACAACGGAGAGGAGAGGGCCACAGTGCCCTGGATAAGTCTGTTAGGTTAACATATTTTTCACATGAAGTGAAGAGGAAAACAGATTGGGGAAGAGAGGCAGAATTAAGGTTTTGATTGTAGATGAGTCTGTCCAGCTCTTAGGTGCCAAGCTACCACATATGAG